CAATCCCCAATATCGTTCCTTTCAATTTTTCTCTCCAAAAACTCAATATTATTAGGATAAATTTCTCTGCTTTTCTTTTTTTCTCTCATGCTTGGATTGTTGGACACAAAGTTATTTGGATTGAAATCTTGCAACTCTTAATTCGATTGTAAGTTTTTCAATTCTACTTTATTATTGTTGATTGGTTTTATGTTCTTAATTTCGGTTAACATGAAATTGAATCTAAGCATGAGGTAATCCATTCACCTAGGGTTAGGGATTTTGATTCTTGTTTTGAATTATGAGGAATGTGTTTTGTTCAATCTATACGAGTTGTGTGAATTATATGGTTAGTTGATTGATCACCATTCTAACCTAGTTAATCGACGTTTAGAACCGAGAGGGGAGACGTCGGTCGATTTAGGCTCGTATAGAGTAGACATGTTCGTAAAAGTATTGTCTATGTGTTGCCTGTTTGAATGAATTTATCGTTTATGTTTGTGCTCTTGTTACGAAGAGTTATTGAGCATAGTCCTCTAGACGTGTAGGCTTGTTTAATCTTGTAACCGAACAAATAAGCGTCAACATAGTTTAAGACTTGATGAGATTTCCCGACCCCTAGAACTTCTTCTTTTTCTCTAGAAATTTAATTGTTATTTCTTTAAATTGCTTTTCTAGTTCTAGCTCCCCAAATCAATCGTGATTAGATTGTTTAGGACTTATTTTCTTTTCTTGTGTGATCAAGACCAACGCTAAATTCCGAACCGTCTTCCTCGAGAGATCGACCCGGGGAACGAATCCTTCGATTCGGTACTCGGTAAAAAAATAAAATAATTTGCTACAACAGTTTCTATAGGAGGTTTATTAAAGATTTTTCAAAAATAAGCCAGCCTTTGTGTCACTTGCTTGCTAATGATGTGCCTTTTGTGTTTAATGATGCATGCGTAGATGCTTTGGATAAGTTGAAAGATAAGCTTGTGACTGCACCCATTGTTATTGCTCCTAATTGGTCGTTGCCTTTTTAGATTATGTGTGATGCTTCGAACCTTGCTGTTGGGGCCGTCTTGGGTCAACGAGTTGATAAGTTACTTCGTGTAATTTATTATGCTAGTTTGACTCTTAATGGCGCCCAATTGAACTATACCACCACTGAGAAAGAGCTTCTGGCCGTTATTTTTTCTTTAGAAAAGTTTAGATCTTACATTCTGGGATCTAAAGTGATTGTTCATTCTGACCATGCGGCTCTTATTTATTGAGTAAAACTCAATCGAAACCTAGACTCATTCGGTGGATTCTATTGTTGCAAGAGTTTGATGTAGAAATTCGTGATAGAAAAGGTTGTGAAAATGTGGTTGCTGATCATCTTTCTCGCATTGTCCCTACTGAGCATTCACTTACCTTGCATGAACATGTTGACATAAATGATAGCTTCCCATATGAGCATGTGAGTGAAGTAGTTAGTGTCCCTTGGTATGCAGATATTGTCAATTATTTATCAGATGGAGTCCTGTTGTCTAACCTCTCTTCCCAAGAGAGGAAGCGTTTTGTGTTGATGTGCAGGAGTTACTTTTGGGACGACCCACTTCTTTTCAAGGTGGGAAAGGATGAGATCCTTCGGAGGTGTGTGCCCGAAGAAGAGCAACTGGATGTCCTTGCCTTTTGCCACGAACTTCATTGTGGAGGACATTTTGGAGGTCGAAAGACCGCATTTAAAGTTCTCCAATCAGGTTTATTCTGGCCTTCTCTCTTTAAGGATGCTCATAACTTTTGCAAGTCTTGTGACCGATGTCAAAGAATTGGAAATATAGGCCCAAGGAATGAGATGCCCCTTGTGAATAATTTGCAAGTGGAAATTTTTTATGTGTGGGGCATTGATTTCATGGGCTCATTGCCCAAATCTTTTGGCTTTGAATATATTCTCCTTGCTGTAGATTTCGTGTCCAAGTGGGTTGAAGCTATCCCCACAAGGACGTGTGATGCTAATGTGGTCATCAAATTTTTGCAAGGCAACATATTGAACAGGTTTGGATTTCCACGGACCATTGTGAGTGACGGAGGCAAACATTTTTGCAACCGCATTTTTGACAAGCTGATGAAGAAGTATGGCATTTCACACAAGGTGGCCACCCCATATCATCCACAGACGTCGGGACAAGCAGAAACGAGCAACAAACAAATCAAGACCATTCTTGAGAAGACGGTGAACTCGTCCAGGAAGGATTGGTCGAGTAGGCTCAATGATGCACTATGGGCCCAAAGGACAGCATACAAGGGAGTGTTGGGGATGAGTCCATTCCGCCTAGTCTATGGAAAGGCATGCCACCTTCCGGTTGAGATCGAGCACAAGGCGTTCTGGGCAATTAAAAAGATGAACTTCAACCTTGATGTGGCTACTGCAACTCTCGGAGCTAGAAGAGTGGAGGAATGATGCCTACGAGAACTCCAAGATTTACAAGGAAAAGACAAAGAGGCTTCATGATGCTACCCTTGTCCGGAAAAATCTCGTACCCGGTATGAAAGTTCTTCTCTTTAATTCCCGACTCCGTCTTTTTCCCGGAAAGCTTAAGTCCCGTTGGAGTGGACCCTATATTATTGATGAAGTGCTATCATTTGGAGCTGTCCGACTCCGAAACCCAGCAAATGGCGAGTTGTTTGTAGTGAACGGGCAAAGAGTCAAGCCTTATTTTGAAGGAGAGCTCGGAAAGCATCATGTCGAGACTATCAGTCTCGACGACCCGTATCCTTGATTCGGAATTGTGCCGAGCTCCCGGCTTTAAACTGAGCATTTTTGTACTTTTTGTATATATATATATATATATTTATATTTCTATTTATTTATATATATATATATATATAATATAAATAAAAAAAATTGTCGCCGCGGGCCGCGAGGATTTTCTTCGCCGCGGCCGCAGCTAGTATTAGTGTGTGTCCAGATACCAATTTCTGCAGGGAAGATTTCGCTGCCATGGAGCATCCTCGCGACCGCGGAGGCGGGTCGCGGCCGCGAGATATTTCTTCGTCGCGGCCGCGGCGATGTATCGTTCGGCAAACTCTAATTTCTGCACATAAATTCTCGCGACCACGAAAACCGCGTTTCTTTTCTTCTTTAAGCCTATTTTTGGAGATGAAAGACAACTCACAACCGCGACCATCCCTCTCCACTGCACCTCACCTCCGACCAACCGTCGACCACAGCCTTCCAGCGACGACCACCGCTTTCCGGCGACGTTCCTCTGGCACCTTACGATCTCCAGCGACACTCTCTCATTTTCCACTCTTGCAGTCCCGTTCACGGCACCTCATCTTCGAACCCTAGTCGTGAATTCACCTCACCTCCGACCTACAGGCCGTTCAACCGGCTCCGGCGGTGTCCTCCGACCACCACGAAGACGAAATTCCGGCCTCAACACCTCCGTTCACCTCAATCGCAAGCTCACCGCAAAACCCTAGTCCGTGGCACTTCGTTCAATTCCGGTTAATTTCAACAAAAAGGTACGATTGGCTCTCTCCGACTAATATTGGTGCACTGTTGAGGCGTGAGGAGGCCTGCTCCGGGATTTCCAATATCGCATTGTTCACAAGCTTTTTAGTACAAAATACCGCACGCCACGTGTTCGACATATTGCCCGATAGACCATTCACATAGGCAAGAATCCGATTCGTCCCACCAAGAAGAAAACCACTCAAGAACCGGCTAAGAAGCGCAAAGCGGGCGAATCCTCCTCTCGAGATGCTCCTCCGGAAGATGACCGAAATGACCTTTCGGACCAATACGGTGCTCCATTCCCGATTTATTCTAGGAAGGAGGGCGAGATTTATGCCCGTCTACTGGACATATCACTTTCAAATATTAACAATTAATGTTAACAATAATAGGATACATATCAAAGAAGATATGTTCATAAATAAGGACAATTAAATCAAGTAAATATAGTCTTATAATATATCTCATGTGATAAATTATACCTTTTTACATGTGCTTCTTGCACTACATATTTCTTTTTATATCACATAGATCAATTCATAAATATACACATTTCCATTTACCAAATATTTTCTATTTCTCAATAGAAAAATTCAAATATTTCATAATAACAATATGTATAATTTAATATATCAATATTGATCTTGAAATGAAATTATCATTAAATTGAGTAATATGGAAGTGAAATAAGAATTTAGTCGGAGAAATAATTTCCACCACAAAACACCAATCCCAACAACCTTATATACTCTCTATTCATATAAAATATTAGTTCACTTAAATTATTTTGGGTATAGCTGGCACATGATATCAATAATAAGTCCAATTTCAATAAATATGTTTACCTCAATCGGCGAAAGATCCACAGCGAAGAAATCCACCTGCTTGCTCTGCTATTTTCCTTTCCCCCATATCTCTATTTCTCGTCACTTTTCTATCTTCCTTTTTATTTTCCTTTTTCTTTTTTTTTTCATCTCCCCTTATTTCTTTTAGAGTAGTGGCAGCGGCTGAAAGACGACCCACTGCACTTGCCGGATGTGCCTACGCTCTCGGAACCTCACTTCCTCTTAAAAGATGACGAGGACGACAACGGTGGCTTCCCGTGGTCACCAACTTGTCGGTGGAGATACAATCAAGCTTCCCAACATTTTTTCTCTGTTTTATTTGAATTGTATGTACTCACAAAATGTTTATGTAAACGAGTATATATATACACACATATATATAGGGATGCGCTCCGGTGAGAATAGTGCTTAGTGAAAGAAATAAGAATAAATCATAGCGATCCGATCTGATAATCCAACGATTAATAAAATGTCAAAATTCTACATGCAGTGAGGGTAGTGTGGACATTTTCCTAACCATCACTAGGCCCCACACCCCACTACACGTCCCACCACATTTACTCTCTCTCTCACATCTCTCTCTCACACACACACACGGAACAATAGCGAGTCACATCAACTTCTTCTACCAGACGACGGTCACGCTGCCCGCCACCGCCGAACTCCGCCGGCGCCATCCTTCGCCGCTGCTGACCTCAGCATCGACCTCAGAGCCGACCTCACTCTGTCCGACCATCATCTACCGCACGACTAGAAGCTGTCGGAGGGCCGATGATCGACCAGGAAAAAAAATATACATCCCAGCCGTCGAAGGCTCCTCTGCCACACGACTATCCCGCCGCACACCACCGCCAGCCTCCGCCGCCGCCGTCGTCAACACTCTGTCCGACCGTCCTGTGCAATCAACAATCCATCTCTTCGACCTTCGTCTATCGCCTCCGTCATCAACTTCTGTACGGCCATCTCCGTTCTACAGTCCGGCGAGCATCCGCCTCCTCCTGTCTTGCCGTTGACGTCCGCCGAGGCTCCGATGAGCAAACGCGCCCATCTCGGGGAAACAATCCGATTTCTTTTGGAATTTGGGGATTGGATTTGGGGATTTTTTGTTTGGAAATTTAATAATTTTCAAGGACTTAATTGAAGTTACAAGAACTTTGATTATATTTCAATTTAGCCCATAGACCAAATGTATAATTTTTGAAAAGTTAGAAAAAGTATTATTTTTATACATATATATTAACATAATAAATAAAAACGTTAAATAAAAATAATATAAAATAAAAAAATATAGGTAATAAATTATTTCAATTATTTAGGTTAATTATGTTCACCAATCGAATAACATGTTGGAGAATGCACGCACATTAGTGACTACCGGACTGCACAATAATGTTGGACCAATTGCACATTAATGCGTTCGAGAATGCACATTAGTATAACATTGTGCATATTCACATATCTTAAAACTTCAATTAATTTTGGTTCAGTTTCTGCCTTAGTTACAAAATCAAAAGCATAAAAATAAAAAAATAAAATAACACAACCAATCGAACTATATAAAAAATAATATTTACAATTTATCTATATGTATTATTAATTTTCTTCAATTAACAATATAAATATTTAATAAAAAATGTAGATACCAAATATAGTTTTATTATATAAATAATTTGATAAATGTAAAATAATGTTGATTGAAGTACACATTGAAAAAATTCCTAATATTCAAATACACATAAAAATATACCGCTCAATAATGTTATTTAAATTATACATGATTAAATTTTCCTAAAATTGAAATGCACATAAAAAAGTACTTGATCAATAGAATGCACACAAATGTTATACTAGATGCACATTTGTGTTTGGGTACTTGTACTTTATTGATTTTTTTATTTTATATATTATATTTTTTCAACCAAGGAATAATATAAAAACATAATAAATAGTATTATTAACATATTAAAATAGTTTAAGTATAAATAACAAAATATTTCGATTAGTAGGATAATTCGGTTATTTTTAATATAAATAATATATTATTTTAATGATAATTCTAATGATCGACCGAATAAATCAAGTAATTCGGTTCAGTTTCAATTTGGTTTGGGACGAATTTTCTATCTGTTCAGATTGCACAATAACAACAGACCCCGTGCACAATAATACATGACAAATTGCACATTAATGACTGTCTAAATGCACAACAACAAACAAACTGACCAAAATAAAATTTTTTATTTGATTTTTCATATTTCACATCAATTGTCTATTTTTACTTTTAAGTCAATGCACAATAGTGATAGATGAAACACACATTAATGACTTATAGACTGCACAACATCGACTAAAATTGATAGATCTAAAGTTTTTGGTTCAACTATTTATATCTGTTTTCGGTTAAATCATATAAATGATCGACTAAATCAATCATTTATGTTCGGTTTCAATTTAAATTGTGACAACAATACTATTAGTTCGCGATTAATGTCTGCCAGACTGCATATTAAAGACCAACGTCTGACCGAAATAAAATTTTCGGACGTCGATTCAATTATCTTTTTAAATTTTAAAATTTTTAGTTATTACATTGGATGTCGGCTTTATTTTATTTTATTTTATTTTTAAATTTCAATTTAATAATTTAGTATAAAATATTTAAAGCATTGATTAATTTATATTATATTCTTTTTTAAAAAAATTGCAATATACCCCAATAATTAACCTAATTTTGATAAGATACCCCAAATCAATTTCATCCACAAAATCGATTTCACGAATGAAATCTCGTGAAATCAACTTCAGCGTGAAGGAAAAAAAACCCGCCACCCCTGCTCCCTTCAATTTGCCACCGCCGAATCCATTTGCTCATTTCCCGGAGGTGCTCGATTCAGCCGGGATATCGTGTCATCTGGAACTTGGAGATCTGAAATCGATCGGCGACACACAGGGAGAAGAAGGACGGCACGGACGGCATCTGCGACGGAGATCGAAGGCGACACTGGTGTTGGATGGAGCGACGGGGCAGCTAGATGTTGGTGGTCGATAATTGCAGACGGTGGCTGTGCGGCGGCGATGTGGCTGTTCGGCGGTGTGTTTGTTCTTGGATGTTGCAGGACTGATGGTGGTTGGTGTTGACGGCGGGGCCGGTGGTGTTTCGAGTCAGTGGCGAGGCTAGTGGTGATTGGTGACTGGTCTGGTGGTGATAGGTGGCGGCAGGTGGTGGAATTGAGGCGGTGGCATCTCGTCGGAATTGCAGCGGCGTGCTGCAGATCTGCTTGACGGCGGCCTTCTCAGGCTATGGTCGGCGGCAGACGGCGGGCTTTGACTGGTTGAGGCGGTGGCATCTCGTCGGACTTGCAGCTACGTGCGGTAGATCTACCCTGGAGGGGAAGTGTGCGAGAGAGACGGATAGGTGTGTGTGTGTGTGTGAAGTGTGTGTGCAGTGTGTGAGAGAGACGAGTAGATGTGTGAGAGATAGGTAGGTGGGGTGTGGTGGTGACGTGAGGTTGGGTGAGTGTAATATGTGGGTTCCATGGGTATTGAGTCTAATGACATATATACCCTTAATGAATGGCCAAATACATATATTTGACTGCATGTTGACTATTATTTAATAAAATTTGACTTAATCATGATCATTGATATGATAGATCTAGTGGTACAGATTTATTCTTATTTCTTTCGCTATGATTCATTCTCATTTGAGCGCACTTTTATATATATATTTATATATATATATATATTTATTTAAGAACTGTAAATGAGATGGTGATTCAGCATGGTTGTTCTTGGGAAAGCTTGACGGAAATGAAGTAATAATCTAAATTCTGATATAGAGGATCGTCTATAAGACGCAACTGTAGAGCATACTCTTCTCATATTATAAATCGAGCTCTAAAGGGCAGAGGCTCGTGCTGATAACGTGTTATAAAATAGAAAGAAATATAGAGAATATAGAGAATGTTTTCTCTTGGTTGTATTTTCATTATAATTGAAGCTCCTATTTATAGGAAAACTTCTGATGTTACAATCGTAATAATACAATTACATCAGGGACAAAATAGTCATTCACATATATTATTTTATGCACCTCATGCACATATATTATAACAATATAGACCATCAAATAATTTACAATGATGAATTTAAAAACGAATTTTACCTTCATTAATAAATTACTTTCAATTAATATATGATAAGTATTTTCTATTCTGTGTTGGTGCACATTGGCCAGCTATCACTTCCAAGGTTGAATAAAATTAGGATAATTGGATAAGACGGNTTTATTTTTTTTTTCTTTTTTTTACAGAGGTTCTAGGCTTGCGCCTGACTAGTCCTCGAGGAAACAGTTCTCGGCCCCTCAGAAACTGTCTCCAGTTAAACCACGATAGCCACGCAATGGCTCCCAGGTTCATACCCTCAACTACCGCGCACAAGGAGTCGATCCTCAAGTGATTTCTCGCTGGCCCTCCCAGCTCCAAATTGACCCCACCTATCCAGCCACTGGTTCCCACCGAAGTGATTGCTCGCTGGCCCCCCAACTTCATGCTGGCCCCACCTATCTATCCGCTAGTTCCCACCGAGTTTCAGCCTCCCGCACTGCCGCTTGTAGTCCTCAGTATTAATTGTTCCACCATTGCGCTTCAAGGGACTTGAACCCTTGACCTCATGTCAAGGGTGCCTCACTCTTAACCACTAAGCTAAGAGGTCATTGGCAAGGGCTTGCTTTCTTGCTTTCTAACCTTTGCATCTATTCCTTGTTTTGGTCGTACAACTCTTTCAAGAGAATAACGCAAAATTGATCCCACACAATTCATGGTTTGGCCATACTAGGTTCCCTTCCAATAAAACTGGTCCCAAAAAAACCTTTTCGCAAATCCACAAACTCAATTTTGTACTTAACATATGAACTAACAATTGTCTTCCTATGACTCATCAATTTGATGGTTTCTCTTCCGCAAGTTACAGTAGAAAATCCCTAAATTCGCGAAGCTAAGAGCTCAACATTTTCTCTCCTCCCTCCTCCTCTCAATCGGCCCTTCCCCACGACCCGACGTCGTCCATCACTAGACGCACGACTCGTCCCTCCAGGTATCGCGGATCCTCCCTCTGCAGTGACGGATCTAGGAATTTCACCCAGAAGGTCCGATGTTAAATGTTATAACGAGCTTTTAGTTTAAGTCGAAACGCTCATTGCATATAAAATGTATCTACTATCAATATAAATATCAATATGTGTAATATCAAGTTTTTAAAAACTTAGAATCTGTATTATCCTCAAACTTTAAAAATAATAAATAAAAAATTGAGATTTTATTTATTTATAATTTAGTTAAATATCTATAATTTTTTTAAAAAAATAAATTTTTTTGGTTAAACATTTGAGTTAAATTGGACTTTTACATCACATTGCATAACATTTTTTTTTATGAGAGCTTATCTAATGAACATTTTCTTGGAAAATGTAATAATCCAACTAAATACTCGATTTTGTAAATCACCAAATCGATTTAAAATTAAGAAACCGAAAACTGTTTTTTGTAGGAAATTTGTTGAAAAATTAATCAATATACAGTGTACTTTTTCTGTAATACGCAGGCTAATATATTGGTTTTTATGCGTGGGTTTTATTTTTTCGTATAAAATTAACATAATAAATTATCGTAACTCCGACAAAATAATATGAACTGATATTTTGATATAATGTGCGTGTATCGATATTCTTTTTTATAGAAAAAGCTCTGGTCAATTTACTTTTATATAATTAGCTCTGGTCAATTTACTACTTAAATTTTATTATTTGGATATTTTATACAAAAATAAATTTATTTTAATTAATTAAGTAATATAAATTTTATATTTATACTTCTTATTCACATAGGTTTTTAAATATATGATGAAATTTTACCAAAATAATTATTTTATGGAATCCCATTATAATCAAATCAAATTTGTGAATAAAATTTTTGAAGTGACACATATTTTAAAATGAATATAATGTAATTTATTATCAGTTATGTGCAATGCACGTGATATGTACTAATTTTAAATAGATATTCTTATGTAATTTTGCACAATTTAAATTTTATATAACATTTCCAATAAATTATATAGATACATTGTATTGCATATTGATTCTATGTGTGTATTTATATATATTATTTAATGAGAATTTTTAATTTATAAATATTAATTAATATCTTTTACCCGTGCATCGCACGAGATTCGTACTGGTTTATTATAAGTATTTAAACCATAAATTTTAAAATAATAGTAATTTGGTTTACATAATTTGTCAAAATACAAAATTAATTGAGGTCTTATATTGAAAGTAGAATGCAAAAGAGTATTCAATTGACAATAACTTAAAATTGAAACTCTTAATGAGAAAATTAAAAATTCAGCTCATATTGTAGCACTATACACAAAAATCAAGCCCTACAATGAATTTTTCCCCATAATAAACTAAAATTTTATAAATATTGAATTATGAGATTTCGGTGAGGGGCCCTAAAAACCGCCCACCATCTGTCTTTTCCTTTATCTTGAAAGTATGTACGATGACAGAGCAAAGACCAACGAGTACAAAAACATTTATTAACAGAAGATCAGCCCATTAAACATGAGGGTTTATGCATGATATGTTCGATGACATTGATCAGTTCATGTACCATATAAGGAAACATTCTCCCAGCAACCATTATTCACAATAAGATTGTTTTTATCCTTAATTGTGCAGAAAGCCAGAGGTCAAATCGGTTAAAATTCGAATAACAAGCAGCCACAATTTACCTAAATCAACTCCCAATCAGATTCAACAGGTTCATGAACCAAAAACTTCCCTTCATCAAACTCCATCTCAAGAGCTGGAATCACCACTGTTGAATTATTCTTTCCACCTGTATCCTTATATTGGAAAATGCTCTGAGCTTGCTTCCTTTCTGACCTAAACTTTGATGACAGAGCTTTATGGATTTTTTTCTGAAAGAAAAACACACAACATGTAAGAAACTTGCATGCCTAAGGGAATAACCTATACAGCCTGTTAAGAAAACAACCTTGTATGACTCTTGCTTTTGCGTTCCTTGAGAAACAAAATTATGCTCATCCTCTTCTACCAAGACGCATGTTTCATTCAACTCTGGATTTTCCGCTGGCTCTACAGCTTCTTCATTATCAATAATCTCCATGCCAAAGTTATCTAAGGAATACCCGACATTGGATATCAGCAGAGTTGATACAGAAAATAATCCAAAACAGAATTAAGATGACAGGTTAAAAAGTGAGCTTGAGTTTTGCTTGTGAATATGTATGTATTTGTAAGTTGTCTATGCAAGAATGAGGGAAGACTGTGAGTAGATTTTGCACTCAGGTGCGCATATCACGGTAAAACCATATAGGCACCCAGAAAAGGCATCAACAAGTCCACCCCAAGATTGCTAAAAGTCCCACAAATGGCAAATTTGTTTCAACCAGAGGGTGATAGGAATCACCCATTGACGGGACTCCGAAAATTATATTTCAGATTTTGTTTTATTTATTCTTATTTACTTCTCATGTATATGTACTGGCTTCTTTTGCTCAATGCTTGGGGAGTGTACTTGTCAAACTTTAGCCAAAAATAATCAAGTCAATGCAGTAATCAGCTCTCAACTCACTTTCTTTTCTGCATTAAGGGCAAGGTTCAAACAAGAAAATCTTTGTTTTTGGCATACAACATGACGAGGAGAAATATGGATACTGTCTTCACTAGAAAAGAGTTACCTACCTTCACAACACAAAATAACTTCCTCCGTCTCTGGTTCATCACTGCAAGCACTGCCGCCAACATCTGTATTTACATGAGAAAATGATTCACCCTTCCAGGATTCATCTGTGGAAAGTAAGAAAGAAAAAGGCAGTTTCAGATGCATTCTACTCATTCCAATTAGACACGAACAAGAAGTAATCGATACTGTCCTTCTTCAGAATAATAAGACCTATGTAACAACATCAAGAGCGAAACCAGGATTTGCTCCACAATACCAGTTTCATGGTCATTTTTTTTTCTTTTAAAGATCAAATATTCCCCAAGTCAGCTCTCAGTGTCCTTTGCCCTTGCCTTGTATTCTTTCTTTGTTCAGTGATAGAGAAGTGTCTCGTGACATAAAACTTCAAGCAGCATATATCTAGAGTGTCTTACATCATAATAGTCCAAATTTGACACTATTTTATCTTTCACAAAAAGGTTGCAGCTACTTGATAACAAATGAAAGTTATATAACTCTTTTAGAAATAAAGGAATAAATAATATTTTTTAGGGGGAAGGAGGGGCTGTGGTGGCAGTTACCTGCAGCCAACAATTATAGGTCCGTCCTCATAAGATTTAGGCCGAGAATAACTACTAGAACTTGAGACACCAATAAGATTCATAACCAAGGTAGTATTGTTCATTCTTAGTTCAGTTTTAACCCTGATTTTTTCAATTACTTTCCCAGGAATCCCTCCATCCCCAAAACTTTATTAATGTCATTTCACACTAGGGAACCACAGAGGTAACTAACAGTGGAAAGTGTGAATTTAATTTTAATAAACTAAATATACCTATAGAGTTGGTTGTCAGGCCATGGTAGCATGACGTGCACTGAGAACCATCTTTCTCTTGTCTCACAGAGTCAGCTGATAAAATCTTCTGAGAAGTACAGAAGGTACAGATGTGGTCTTGTTTCTCTTTCATTACAGATTCAGCCAATTCAACCTTGTCAGAAGAAAGGAAGTGAGCAGAACCACCTGACAAAGATGCATTAACATTTTCTGGCTCAATAGGACGATTTCTCACTGAGGGCTCTGAAGATGTTACACTTGTGTCACAGAGAAGCAAACGGTTCTTGTCTCCTAATAAAGAAGCCACATCATGACATACTATTGAAGGAGAATTGTCCCGAGAAATCCTTTTGATGCCCATAGGGCGCTTGTAGACTCCTGATCTTTTAATTTTTAAATCATTATAGGCTCTAAAGGATGATCCGTCTTCGCTTAGATCAGATAAATTCCGATCTGTGATTTCTTTCTTCTTAAGCTCTTCAAGGCTGAATGACATGATTGGTTTAGTTTTGTTTAACTCAGTATGCGAATAAGGGTTCAGTGACAAGTCCCCAGCAGCTACTTTTACAGGATCTGCGTCACAAGCAGGGAGCAAATCTTGCATTACCTCCGAATAGAACTTCTTTACACTAACACCAACTTTCTGCACTTGATTTTCCATATATTTGACTGTATCCTGTAAATGAACAACAAAATTGTGGGGCATTAAACTTGATTTAAACAAATTAATGGCATGAGCTGCAGATTATGAAGCAAAGAAAAAAAAAAAGATGAAGAATATTTGGCGTGATTGAAACCTACAATTAGTCATATAATAGTATTGGATGTTTTTAACATATTCTCCTTCTCATTAGAAATAAAACTTAGCATTGGCCAATATACAATTGAAGATATGGTTGGACAAAAGTAGAAATCCATAAATTATCTAGTATTTACAATGTATGACGAGCTTTTCTACTAGGTTTTGGATGTGTTCATCCGTTTCTCTAAAGAGGCCACTTATCTGTTCAAGTGCACCATCTAAATCGTGGAATAGTTGAAAGCTACGTTTGAAAGATGGTTGCAATAATAACTCCACGATGTAACACTAGACTAATAATGTGCCAGTTAAATAATAAACTTTGCCGGTCCCAAATTGGGGACAATGTGGTATACTTCAGAAATTCATATAGGTCACATGGAATATGTAGATAAGAAATCTTTTATAAATAATAAATTTATGGAAAACGTTGAAAAATATTATATAAATGCGGCTGATATTGTGTTCCCTCTGAAATTAGTTTCACCTTAAAAAATCTCCTTCTCACAACAAAATATGATTTTTATGAACTAAAAAAAAATGATTTCATTCTTTCTTAGAGCTTTGCTTCAAGAAAGGTGGTTTTAGTAATAATCAATTTATCATACCTATTAATAGTGATTGATGGTTGTTATTCTCTTTACAGAATAGTTTGGGATACTAGACATTCATTGTATAGTGATAATTGACCTCTTGGAATGGACTTTTGCAATTAGAGCTTATTCATGATATAATGTTCCATTCATATTTTTAACTCCTAACAAAAATTAACATAGCAATAAAAAAAAAATTGTTAATATATTTGTATAAATCAGTATCTATAAATTATTGAATGTTTAATATCTCGTCCAAGTTAAGTATCAAGGAATGACAGGGATTAGAATAAAGCTGCTGCATCCAAATTGGTCAAATTAGCTTTACAATAAAAAACAAATATTTCTATAAAATCGGTGAAAGCTCCCAGAGGGAAACGTATATTATAAATATTCATATAAGAGATATATTTGCACCTACTATTTTTAATAGATTAGATGAACTGTGGAAGATAATGCACAAGAAACATGTACAAGGACTATAGCAGGAAACCCAATGTCATACAAAAGAAATAAGGTTTAACAGAAAAGCAAAGGATAAATGAACGACAGCGAAATTGAAGAACACAGTTGCATAACAAACTAATGGAATAAGAGGCATTACCTCATACATAACCTCTTCCACTTCCAAGCACATAGCTTCAAACTTCTGATATATATTCCCAGCCCAAGTTATACCTTTGAAATCCATAGCAGGATCCTTTTGCAAATTCAGACGGTCTTTCCTGAATAGGTTCCCAAATGAATTCAATACCTACTGTAGGAATACCAATGATATTTGTTAGTAAAACGGGATACATTTGTGTTCAACAGCATTCTTCATCTACCAGTAATAACAAACTGAGATACTGAAGAGAATTCAGAGCAAGAAACGTATAACAGCTGAATTGTACTAAGCTGTCTACCATTCATGATAAATCTAGAGTAGAATGTTGGATAGATCCTACACAATGAAAAAGGGAAGAAAATAAAATAAAATACAACACCTTAAAATGCACATCTTAATTGCAGGCAATATGCTAGATTAGATAACAAAGTCATAAAACATTTCTTGAGTTTCCAGTCGTATGGAAACGCTTAGGGGTTGCAACCAAACTGCAGCAAGATAAGAATTGAAAAATGTCGATAAAAAAATGTATTAATGTTAGATATGCTACCGTCAAGCAGCACATAAAAACTCGATTCTGGAAACGTAAAGTACGACAAAGGTCAAGTATTAAGATCACGACAGCCAGCCTAATAAAATATAACAAGAAATCCTGAACGTTACCTTTGTGGAGGTTAATAAAACAATGACAAAAATAATAACACATAGGAAGAAAAATATAGCAAAACAGCCTACTACAGTGCAATTAAAAAACAAATTCAATTCTCCTTTACCCAACAGAGAAATGGTAATTGGAGGGGACAAAAACAGGATAATTCTTTCTTACGAAACCAAAAACTGAAGGACATGAATAGCGATATAGAGGTACCCTTCAAGAATGAATCACTTAACACATAGCTTGAAAGAATAAACTCGTGAAATTCAATACACCATGATAAAACTTGCTTGTGCAACTAGGTACACCAAAAAGGCAACTTTCTTCAATCTTTGAATCTATTTGGAATAGATTCTTTGCCAATTTCCCAAACGTTACACATGGTTGCTTGAGGAAGATCGATATCTTCCAAAAGCTTTTTCTATATTTTAATTCAGAATCATCATCACAGCTTAACGAAGTAAATTCCAGAAACGAAGTATTCTGAACCCGTCAGGTAAACCATCAACAAAGACGAGCATGAGGAATTCTCAAATTTAAACCCTATAAAAGAACTTCTTATAAAACACATATTATCATACAACACTACCTGCCTACCCCACCCCACCCCACCCCACCACAACCCTGTCAACTGCACAGTTAAAAATCAACTGAAAAAGCAAAAGGAGGCTAAGATACACACACATACACAGAGAGAGTTATCAAAAAATTATTGAAATAAGCATCGGGATCATCCGAGTCCGAGAGAAAGAGCTTCAAACTCCTGAAGATGACCTAAAGCACAAACCCTGCCAGAGAAGGCCATATATTCTACTTCGCATTAACAAATAACAGAGAAGATGATATAAACACGACTTAACGGCAAAAGAGAACGAACGAAGAGAGTCTCGACTCCACAGCTACAAGCGCTGACAAAGAGAAATTGACCTCGAAACAAGATAATGAAATATTTCCAGGATATATGTACAACTATACGGCTAAAAAATTGGGAATGAAAATCTAGACTCTATAGGTTCATTATTTTTAAAATAGTAATTGTTTCTTGTTTAAAAAAATTATATTTATTATATTTAAAATAAATTAATCAATATATAATATAAAATGAGTGAATTTACTTTTTTCTTTGATGGTTTTTTCTATGAAAAATAATCAATCAATATATGTATAAAATAGGCGAATTTATTTTTTTGGTATTTGATGACTTTTTTTATAAGAAATAATCAATCAATATATGGTATAAAGTGGACGAATTTAGTTTTGATATTTGATGACTTTTTTATGGAAAATAAATTAATAAATATATGATTTTTAATTTGGGTTATTTGATGGTTGTTTTGGACAAATTTATTTAAAATTAATAGTCAACCCAGCACCTCTAGAGTAAAAGAGAGAGATGTCAATCTGAGGCCTCAGGCCATAAAAAAGTAACACTGGCAAAAATACTAGTCGTCCTACTTCTTAGTAGGAATACAATTCTCCCATAGAGGACTTAGTAACAAAGAGAGGCATTAAAACTGAAAGGTTTGTTGTTGATACATTCGTACTATACTTACAGGTATGGGTATTAAAAGGAGTTGATCCAACGCAGTAAGAAAGTGGTAGGATTTTAGGGCAATTGCCTCGATATTTATGGAGGCACCAGGCTTTGCTAAAATATATGGGATGCCTAAATGAGTGACAAAGGTTGTGTATGATCCATGGTCCTATAATCCATATTTAAAAAGATGACAAACTTTGGGGCTCAAGTTCATCTCAATAGCACCAAAACATGCAAGTGAGTATGGAAAGCATGTTGCTTTTATTTTATTAAGTTATAATTGCCGAATAAAAGGAACCTGAACCAGATCAAGACACCTGAGACAATTCCATCATACACGTCCATGACAGAGGATGAAATTGCGGTGAGAAGGTCATATGGAGTATGGGTATACTTTACTGAAATGGATAAAATAAAATATTCATTCAAAATATTTTAAAATTCTTCGAATGGACCATTTCTACATAATTCATTAACCTCAACCACTTCAAAGTTTGCTAACGATTTATTCGAGAACAAAAGAAAATTCTTGTGGGAACACAAGTTAGCATCTACAAATAATGGGCGCTATAAGGCGTGTAATATGTCACATGGTTTGAAATGGCACGAGCATTTTTATCAATATTGTCCAAGCTAGGAGAAAACAATGTTTTGAAAGCTTTTTCTGGTCAAAAGAGAACGCCCGAAGCAAAAGGATAACCCAAAGAAGAAGAAGGGAATTTCAAAAAACCAAATTCCCAAACTGGTGTATAGAGAAAGCAAGATGACGACGACCTGATACCTACCACGATAATGGCGTATAGAGAAAGATTTCTTTTGGGAAGAAACAAACGAAAATTCAAGTCATAAAAAAAGCACTTAGGGGACGACATAGACCACACCATGTGAAGGATGGGAAAAGTGGACACTAGGGGTGGGCATGGTCCGGGACGGTCCGAGATTTGACCTATCCCGGTACCTATCCCGGTTTTTTGAATCGGTCCGAGACGACACCCCGTCCCAAACGGATCGGTATCAATCGGGACCGGGACAAAACGAGAAANATTGAAACACCATTACACTAACTGCAAGTTGAAAAAAAAAATCACATATAAATATTTGTTTTTTTTTAACGTCAAATGACACTAGGAAATTTGCAAAATAAAATATTATATATATATTTTTTTTAACGTCAAATGACACCAACAGAAAATATTTTTGCATTGTACACCATTAATTTATATTTATGTTGCAAAATATTATATATAGATTGAATTGAAACAGAAACAGAAACACCATTACACCAACTGCAAGTTGAAAAATAATTAAATATAATACTAACATAAATATAAATTAATGTATAATATATATATGTATAATATTTTTGTACAAAAAAATAAAACGGGGCAAACTGGACGGTTCGAGAAAAAAATATTAAAAACCAATACCGACATTGTTTCAACCGGTTCGGTACCGGGAACAGTACGAAAATTTTAAAAACCGATTGGAACCCTATTTTTCGGAACGGGACCATTTCGGTCCGGTTCAGGATCGAAAAATCCAGTTTTTTTGCCCACCCCTAGTGGACACTTTTAATAAAGGAGTTGAGCAATAATTCAGAAACCCAGACTCACGATTCAAGCAGAGCATCCATCTACCATCGGTGAAAGCAATAGAGTGTCTCAACCATCTATAAAAAGATGTTTGGAGAAAGCAGAAGACATCGATCATTCTCTTCAACTTTCGCACTACAACAAAATCTTTTGTAATAGTTTGTAATATGCTAAGTGTTAAGAATTATAATTTTATTTTTCAGAAATTTTATGTCTGTTTGTATTTACACCTCCATCATGAAAGGCCAAAAGTAATTTTTCATCCCTAAAAGAGATTACATATTTAATGAATCTTTCAGTTCCTAATAAAAAGAGGCCTTTGCTTTCCAATATGATGTCGTAATTTTAATTTATCTCCATAATCGAGTCCTTGTACGCCTTGAGTAGGAAATAAACTAAGGTTATGCTGAGTAGTTTTTGAAGGAGTTCGATAACTTGTAGATCATCCTCCCAAAGAGATGAGGTTGGACGGTGGTGGTCGTTCGTAAAATGAATAAGAGGCAATAATTTTTCAACTGATGGCTTTGCAACCCATCTCACACAAAGCTATCTTGGTCAAATAAAGGTACGGAAATTATGGATTTATTTAATTTTATGGAAGCATGTTTAAGCCAATATNCAAAAAAAAAAAAAAAGAAAGAAGAAAGAAAGAAAAAAAAGATAAAAGATAAAAAGGGAATTGCTGGTCGCACCTATGTGAGGGAACTACTAGTAGAAAATGGATATGATCAAATCTACCAAAGAGTACTAGTTCTCTCGTAAAACAAGAAAACATGATACGATTGTAAGGGATTGTTTGATCCGATATAAAAGAAAGGGAGGGGAGGGTAGCAGAGGGCTGTGGCTTTTTTAAAAAGCCCTTGTTTGGTTAAACTGTTGGGATGGGAGGTAAAGTTTTAACACAAATTCCTCCTCTCCTCCATTTGTCTTCCCATCCAAAAAGTAGGGAATTTGGAGGGGAGATAAAACTTATTGATACCTTATTACTTTTATACCCTTATTATATTTATGATTTAAATATTATCTTTTATATCACAAAAGACAAAAGAGTTAACCTTACATTATTTTTCTTTTCTTTTTATTTTTTAACCAAACAAGATTTGTCATTTTCTCTCTCCTCTCTTTTTAAAAAATCACTCAAAACAAGCTAAAATTATTTTGAAAAATGATATATAGCCAACCTAGTTTACAACTAGGTTGACAACACAAGTGGAAACATCCACTTGTGTATTTTTTTTTTTTTTTTTTTTTTTTT